CGGGATTCAAACCTTCGTCAAGAATGTAACCGTGTTTAGTGTCCTTACAGGTTGTCCTTACAGTGTCCTCAACACTTTCTAGTTGCTTATTAGGGGTCTAATGTGGTATACCAACTTCATTTCTTGATATTAACCATTTGTGTGTTGCTACCTCCGTGTTTCCCTCTGTTTGTTTCCAGATATCACGAGAGAAGGCATTGCTCTGTGGATAGCGCATCACTTAATCCGTGACATAACTATTTGACTCATGTGACTTTGTCAATGGCGTGAATAGAAACTGTTTTTAAAAGAAACAAACTTGTTTTTTTCGTCCATGGTTCTATTTTTGATCTTTCTACTCTTACAAATCACTGTAAAAGCTTTAAAGGGCACTTAAAGATGTTCACATGCACTGGTCATCATAAATTAACCTCAGTTAGCCGAATTGCAGAACACTTACCGGAGAAAACCAACGCAAGCACACTGACCTTTCCTCAAACTGGCTACCCAATGCCAACTGTGACAATATAATCGTTAATAATATTGTTTTTTAACTGCACATGAACAATTTTGCTTTTCAAGTGAAAAAAGTGGGTGGCACGGTGGTACGGTTAATAGGACTGTGGCCTTCCAGTTAAAAGGTTGCTGGTTTGAGGCTCGCTGGTGACCTTCCTGGAAGGAGTTGGCATGTTCTCTCCGTGTTAACACGGATTTCCTCCGGGTACTCTGGTTTCCACCACAATCCTAAAAACATACAGCTAGGTTAATTGAATAATCTAAACTCCTCTCCATTACTATCTAGTATTCTTCGAGAGCTACAGCCAACACTCAGCCAGCACTCAACCCACTCTATCTTTCTTCACCCCTATCCCCAACTTTTCTTTCTTTCTTTTTCTTCTTTCTTTCTTTCTTTCTTTCTTTCTTTCTTTCTTTCTTTCTTTCTTTCTTTCTTTCTTTCTTTCTTTCTCTCTTTCAACTCTCCCTTACTTTTGAAAAATGCCATGGAAATTATTTTGTAATCTTTTTTGTTTTGTGACTGCCTATGTACATTTGTTGGATATATATATATATATATATATATAAAGAATAATCTAAATTCCTCTTAGGTGTGAATGTGTGAGTGAGTGTTGCACGGCGATAGACTGGTGACCTGTCGCCCAAAGCTTACTGGAGATGGGCACCGGCAGACCCCCGTGACCGCAAAAGGGAATAAGCAGGTTGGAAAATGAATGAATGAAAGTGAAAAAAGTATAATGAATGTATAATGGTTTTCTGTACTGACTTTCCAAACACTGGATTGAGCTGTTTAGAGATGTAGTTTTCCTTGTCTTTGACTTCGGACTTTCCCAGCTTGATGGCTATGTAGGGATCAGCCTTCCCATTGATGTCAGCAGGGTGCAGGTCTGTGGCCTAAAAAGAAAAATGGCAACAAAGGGTCATTATTTTTCCATCTCTGAGCGTATTAAATGTGTAAAATACAGATTTAAACAGAAAAACAGGCGCAGCGAAGAGTAGATATGCTAAACGTATTAATGTGCCAGGAGAACACACAGAGATACACCCTGTAACAATACCAGTTTCCACCTTCTGCCAAGAAGATGTATTTGCCCCAGAAGGGACCCTCATTATTATAATAATCAGCTCTCAGTTCTTTACATCTGGAACATAATGTTTAAAGTGAGCTGATCAAACTTTTTTTACTGGAGTCACTGTAGAAATGTTTGTCTTCTTCCACTGTGCATCTGCTCCAGCAGCTCTTTCGTGAACTTGAAAGGGTTGGTGTGTTGTTTATGACTGCTTCTCTGAGTCTTTGTGCCATTCGTAGCCGTAGATGACCTCCTGCATGCTCTTACCGGCCCATTCTACTGCTCCTGCTCCCATCAAGCACCAATCTTTACTTGGCCATCTTCACAAGTTTATGTTAATGCTGACTTGGAAAAACAAAACAAATTAAAAAAACAAAACCGGGCCAAGGTGCCTACCTGAGGGTCTATAGTAGAGGGACTACACACAGTGGAGAGGTCCAGAGAGCTTGGGGTGATTACGAGGGATAATCGATGAATACAATGAATGGCGGCTAAATAATTTAATAAAGCATGGAGAAAGGATTCATAATATTACCAATAAAAAAAAGAACAATGAATCAGCTTGCATGACGGAAAATCAGTCTACCTCTCTCTTCTGAGAAGGAAACAGGAGAGGTGACAAACCAGAAAACCTGGAAGAGGTTATGGTGCTAGGGGTTCTCTCTTACATTCAGAAATGAATTGAAAACCCCTGCTAGAGTCTGCGTAAACATAACATTTGGTTCATGAACTCCATTGTCTAAATGGGTGCAGGGAGCTTGGGTACTGGGATACTGTAGTGGTGTCTTTGAAATCAAGTTGCGTTGATTCATACCCATCAAGATCAAATGTGCTGCAGTGGAGCCACTTACCCTGACCACGTAGATTCGTACTAGGACATTTATTGGGTCATTGTGAGGAATATTCTGGAACATTCCCATGTTGGAATCAAAGCCCATTTCTCGAGACACCTCATCTGAAACGGGTACTTTGTAGATGCACAGCGAGCCCTGCAGCAAATGCAGATTGACATTTATAATATCCATATTCAATAATACAGATGTCCTATGAGTCCTAACAAATGTGTTTGGAAACTTGGCGTGTGAATGTGCAAAAATACATTGCTGTCATTTTTTATATTAGCATTATCTTTACTGTTATTTTTGTCATAGTTACAGCCTCGGTCTGAATTTGCCGAATTCAACACTCCTTCTAGGTTGATGGACATTATATTCTCAACAGTCCTCTCCTATGAACTTCTATTATTAGGACCTGGGAAGAACAAAGCAGATGCCCATATTATGAGTCGTCTACGGGGGATATAGTTCCGGAGGAAGTTATGTTACTACGGCTACTTTACCATGCTCTGATGAACGAATAACCAATTTAAGTGATAAATGCTCCTCATCTTGTATTTTTTTTTAAATGTATCATATAATTGTAATACTATAAATTAATTATTTTTTGATGATATTAATGTTGATGAAAAACAAATGTACACATTACTAATGTTAATGATCAAGACCTCGAACACTATAACTAGGGACGTAACAATACACTCTGCTCACAATACGATGCATAGAACAATATTATGTCCACAATGAGATATACACCACAACATTTGCCAACACTAACCAAATATTGATATCATTTACATCTGTCGAAAAACGTAATATCATCCATCCATTAGGGGGCAGCACTACAGGTTACATCTAGTCCACTCTATTGCTTATAGCTCCTTCTATAATTGCTCTTTTTAAAATGGGACTAAATTATCTACTTGCAAATATTAAATAAAACATAAAGACGAGGTAAAGAAGTGACTAGAAGCACCATCACCCCAAGAAGCAAATCCTCTTCAGCTCCGGGACGATATATCTATATTGTGACAGTTTTGTATTGTGATATATGTTACACCCCTAATAATAACTATAGCAACACATTATAGTTGCTAATATTTATCCTGAAGGTTTTCTCCAAAGTATATAACCCGATGGATAGACAGTTTAGCAGTTGTTACTCTCTGAGGAAATAAAAGCAGCAAAACGTATCGTGAACAAACCTTGAATTTCCCAATGAGCCTGTCTTCATCAGCTGCATTCTGCTCCACATCTGCATCATCTGAGCATTTTCCTCGGTACAGATTGAAGGTGTGAAGCCAATCTTCAAAATGCTCATAGTCATATTCCAGCTCTCGACTATAGACCTGTGAGTGAGACAAGAACCAAAGCCACCAGTATCTCTGTGTTGTATCTAACCATTGTGGACCAGTAGCATGACAAAAACATACTAATCTAATTTTAATCTAATGTGAATTCAATTCAGTGCCAGCATTTCAACCAACATGCTATGGTCTATGTGAAGTATGGAAAGTGAAATTCTTGGAGATATCCCAGAAAGGCATTGGAATTTAAATGCTTTTTAAACCAGGAAGATCTTCAATGAGGGGCCCATGTCTTTCATTTATCACATTCTATGTTTGAGAGAGAGTTTTGTGTTTCTGGTAGTTTCCTTTCTAGCTGTCCTGCGCACTTCCTGGAGCTGCACTCACCTATCCGGCTCATTACCATCCCCGACAGAGCGCTAAATAACTCTTTTTCATTTTTATGATGCCATGTTTTAAAGTAAATGAACGTCTTTGAGCAGTGCAAGTCTGTCCGTGACTCTCTCTCCATCGGAACTGAAACAAGGGAAGAGACTTTGATAGCTGCTCTGAAGGGTTCATATGTTCGTAAATCTAACTGATGACGTCAGAAGCCTCACCAGTCGTGAACCTCACCACACTGGCATGTGTAAAAAAAAAGCCGCTCCTGGAAAACCAACATGAAACAGTTTTGGAGCTTCTGGTGTGCGCATTAAACCAGGGTAGGAGCTGAAACCCGCAGGAACTGAAACTGCTTGGACAGTTTCTAAATTTCTGTAATTCACTGAATAGAATTTCGATAGCGTCAGTAAAACGTTACGTCTTTTTGTTCTCTGTGAGTTTCGCTGTGTAAGCGGCTTACCTCAAGGCTTGGATCATATAATACTCACAACGCACTAACAAATGATTAGGCACACAATTATACCTTCATCTCTTCGATCTTCTGTTTCTTCTTCTTCTCTGTTCCTCCTTCTCCAGCTTTGTTCTTCTTCCCTCTCTTCCTCCTCCCTTAATTCAAATCATACACAAGTTCATTTAGAAAGCAAGAAGAAGGACGCGGGTGGACAAATACTTGAGGAGCCTTATATTAGCCCAGCATCTTTATAAATAGAATATTTATGGAAAACAGCTTCTTAGAATGATCTATTATTTCTGTCACAGTTTCCACCTCCCTCCAATGGCCATGTTGCTTTGAGATCTGTAAGTGAGTATCGTAGGCTCACATTGAAAACGTCACGCTTGCTTCCCTGTGAATGTGATTCTGAACGATAGTTTAAAACTAGTATTTTTCATATTCATTCTATTCCTCTAAAGCGTTCCTGTGACTCAGCGGGTAGAGCATTGTGCTAACAACACAAAGGTCATGGGTTCAAATCCTGGGGAAAGCAAGAACTGACAAAAATGTGTTCATTCTTTCAAATGTGAGTCGCTAAATGTAAAACAAACGTTTTCTTATACAGAGGGGCAGGTGGCAGTTGTCTCTTGCTAATCCTTAATCTAGACTAGTTAAATAATAAATACCCATAATACCTTTAATGCCATTAGTCTACAGAGGGTGCACTAGTTTTAGCTTCACAGTAAACCTGCACACTTAGCTAAAGAGCACTTTTAGCACCACTTGGTCTGTTCTTGATTCTGCTGGTTGGTTTCAGCATCTACTAAATCTTTATTTGTTGAACACGACTTCTATTCTTGCAACCTTTCCCCGACAAGTTTGCCCTTTGACTTTTGGATTTTTCATATGATCATTTACTGCCACGGGTTTAGATTAGCATTACCGTACACTAGCAAAAGTTCAGACAGAAACAAGAATATTCATTGTTTGTTAATTCACAAAAGTTAAAAATGCAAACAAAATAATAATTTATATTTAGCATTTCAGGATTGATTGAAATTAACATTCCATTATGAATAAATCAAAGTTTGAAGCTCTGAAAGGTATGAAAGATACGCTTGACTCACCCTCTCCAGACTCAAAATCTTCCTTTTCTTCTGCTTCTGCTTCCACTGCTTTCATGATCTAAAATTTTCACAAAATATAAGTAATAATTTTAGCCTTACAGAGGGTAATGAGAGTTCCTTTTCAGCTCATCACTTCAGTGTTACAGAGAGAACACATTTCAAATCACTATAAATAAAGTAGAAGTGGTGGTTTTTTTTTTGTTTTGTTTTTTTAGCCAAAGACTACTGTGCCAAGTGCATCCCTAAAAATGACATCCATCACTGCTCTCCTGCAAACTATGAGCCTTTTCACTCATGAGTCAAACCAAACGATTTTAAGGAATTACCTGAAAAATTCCCAAAAGAAAGAACTTAAAGAAAAACAAATCAAAGAATCCTCATCATTTAATCCCCCTCCCCCCCCCCCCCTCTCTCTCTCTCTTGGCACCTAACTTTTGCAATGTGGACAATTCCTATGTATCTGATGAACATCTGATTTGGAAGGGGACAGATCTGTAGTTGACTATTATTTTATAAAATTGTAGCTCAGTCCTCGTCAGATATTAAATCATTCACACCCTTGAAATCAATGCTTTTAGATTTTTTAGTGGCCAACGTGTTTTGAAAATTCGCATGAAACTGCCCAAAGTCGTGGGCAAAATCAGTGCTCGTGCACAAGAGTGACGGCCGCACTGTAGCGCCAAATCATTGCCAAAAATTTCTACAGAAAACAGACCCATGTGATCACGCCCTGTGCAGTGAATGGATCCGCCTGAACAGAAAACAGTTCCGCGAGCATCATAGCGCAAAACACACGCTTGTGTCTGTGGGTGGTGGTTCTACGCGCTCAATTTCTCCATCCGCTCGCGAAACTCATTTCTGCGGGCTAATAAAATTTCATTTTTGTCCAAGATGGGGCTGGATCTACTTTTCAAGAAGTCTGCTGTGATTGGACGCCTGTCTGTCAGTTAGCTTCAGCCTAAATAAGATCGCTTTCAGCAAAGATATTAACCCATATTAAACATACATAAAATGGCCCTACAGGTAGATTTACAAATATAAACAGTGTGGCGCAGTGGGTAGCACTGTGGCCTTCCAGTTAGAAGGTTGTTGATTCGAGGCTCACCGGTGACCTTAATTAACCGGTTAGGTTAATTAAATAATCTAAATCCCTCCCTCCCACCGCCACCCAATGTGAGCTGGAGATAGGCACCTGTAAACATTAAAGATGGTTACATTATCAATTTAAATCCCATTAATCAAAATCAAAGATCCAATTAATCAAATATCTAACCTATAATCAATACATTGTTTTAATCTTATTTTAGGAAGAGTTGTACACCTCTGGTACATGGATGAATTACTATTCGGTGAATTAACATGAATTAACTACAATAACATTAACTATTTGTTGTAATACGTGTAAATCTCCCTGGCTTGTGAATAGTCATGTCAAGGATCTATTTTATTAGTCGGCTAATATCTTTGTGGACTCAATTTTACTTTGAAATAACTGAAATGTACTGACAGATGGTCATCCAGTCACAACAGACTTCCTGAAAAATAGATCCCACCCAGTCTTTCACAAAAATGAAACTTTTTTAGCCCGTAAGTAAGTTCTGTGAGCAGATGGAGAAATTGAGCATGTAGAAACACCACCGACAGACACAAGCACGTGTTTTGTGACGTCATCGCCCATCTCTGCCATAGCGCGGTCGTAACGAAAACGGGGGGGAAAACTACATTTCCCACAATGCCTTTGGCTTCTGCATCCATACTCACGAGCGAAACTGTAGAGGTCAGCTGCCGTTTCTCACACATTCAACGCATTTGAGTGATCTTTCACGCTACAAACCCGATTTCTCACGCTAAAATACATTTCAAGATGTGGAATGGGCACAGCTAATAGTTTATTTGTGATCGATTTGCATCGTCTTCAGTCTGTGAGGTTTTTTTTTCCGCTAAACATTCACATTAGTAATGTAGTGACAATGTTACTAGCTATTACGGTATTACTAATGTGGGGGCAATGTTGCACTGGAACAGTGATGGTGGTAACGAATGGTGGACTTTAGATGGATGAGTGGGGGCAAAGAAAAACATTACAGCCTTTTTTTTGTTACTTTTACTGTTTAATGTCTGTTCATGTTACATGTTTGACTGTTAACTTTTACACAGTTGATATAAAATATTTTACAAAAGTTTTTGGTTCAAAATCTTTTTTTTCTAGATCTTCCTCTTTTAAAATTGGATGCATCTTATGTGCCGGTGCGTCTTATGAGCCGAAAAATACGGTATCTGCTTTTCTATTAAACATGCTTCATGGGGCTTAGAGACCTGATTGTTTGTGTGTCGCTGACCTCTTTGAGCGTTTCGATGGAGGCAAAGTACTTGGACCACCAGTCCAGCATGCTTTCATCGAGCTCTTCTTCTTCTGGCTCCTCGCCCTTCTTGCGCTTCTTCTTCCCTTTGCCGCCCTTCTCATCATCTGGCTGTTAGGTTAATGCAAACATTTTAAACGACGTAATGTGCCTTACACTGTAAAATATGCAGTTATATACTTGTTTGAGCTTTCTCGTCCTTTGAACACAAAAGTTATGTTAAAATCAACTTTATGCTTAATGCCACAGGTGGTCCCACTTGACCACTGGATTACATGGCGAGTTACTGAATGGCTAATAACTCTAAATAAACAGTTTGAACCCTGAACATTCAGGCTTTACATACATACCATTTCAATTTTGACAACAGCGTCGGAGGCCTGTAACAGATGGGGCAAAAGTCCTCATGAAACCCAATATTAAATTACATGAAAGATACACATGTGATTACATAATGAGCAAAATTACATGCTATTCACGAATAGCAGAACCTTGCTGATTGAGCCCATCATTGCTTCCACATAGAGTTGTACAGTATCTATCTATCAATATTCAAATATAATGTTTTCGTACCGAATCTAGTTTCACCATTGTCTCAATCTTCTTCACCATTGGTTCAGGTTCGTTGTGGATAACAACCTCATCTGCGGGTGAAAACACATTTAAAAATGTTCATAATAATAACAAGCAGTTTTTCATGGAATTAATGTTGTGACAAAAAGACAAATGTAATTTCCCCAAATCGATATTTTGCCCAACACGCTCTGCCCCATGATTGAAGTGTATCTTTTTTGTATAAATTAGAAGAAGACTCCGTCCAGGGTTTGAGTTATGGAGGCCATGGCAGGGAGGGTTTCAACTCTCCCCCCTCTACACCAGTGTTCACTCCCTGTGATTCTGCCCTTACCAAACCTCTTGAGCTAGTTGCAGGGAGCCTGGAGTTGCTGTGTTTCGGGCCGCTTCTTCAGGGCAGTGTGTGATGCAGCCAGCTGTACTACCTCATCCCAACAACTACTACCCCAGAGTCAGATCTTGCTTCTGTCTCTCACGGCTGTCAATCAACTTGGTAATGTTTCTCTTTATTGATTCCACTTATTTGCATTTTCCTGTTATTATTGCGACTGCTAAACATTCATTCTTGCTCATTTTTTAAGATTCTTAAAAAGTTTTCATGTTTCTGCTTTGAGCTTAAGATCCACTAGGAAAGCACCAAAAGTCTTTAAATCTAAAGATTCTAAACAAATCTAACAGTGTTGCAAGAACCTTAATCCTGGAGGGTTGAGATTCTCAAACACTTCTTGAAACTGCTTTACGTTACAAAAGGTCCTAAAAGGATCACAATTTCCAAATTTAGTTCAACCACGTGTAACTAATGACTATTGTTTCTGCACTTACCCATCGCAGACCAGTTGTTGATGCTTTTGTCAGATGGCCTGTAAATGAACTTCCTCAGTGAAGTGACTGCATGTGAGCCCACAAGTGTGTATCGCCCAAATGCTCTGCAGTCAACCACTCGAATGTTCAGAGGAGGGTGCAGCAGTTCATTTTCTGGAAGATCCTGTATAAAAACAAATCATTAGCAATTCTCAAATTTATCAAGCTCACAAATTAGCTTATCCCTTTTGTCTGCCTCCCTGGATGCTGCCACTTCTGCCTCGAGTGGAGTGGGGCGTAAGGTTAAGAGGGCATGGGACACTACGCGCTGTATACAAGAAGCTGGTGGCATCCACTAACCAGTGGGCCAACCTCAGCTCGGAGACAGCCTTTCCTTTCTGCTGACCTCCAAAACAGATAAAGAGCTGCTCCAACTGGCATGACTGCAATCTGTGTAGAACCTAGGGGCTCTTCCGGGACAGCACAAGTGAAGGGCAGGGTTTGCAGGCTCACCACCTGGTCCTGAAAAGGAACGGTGAGAACCTTGGACCTGAACCCACAACGTGAGAATAACCAGGCCTGAATTCGAGGCAGATTTCATCAGCAGAGAGTGCTTGGCGATCTCCTACTCTCTTCAAGGAGGCCAAGGCAATCTCACTGCCAGGTGGTGAAGGCCGAGCAACTTCCCTTCC